ATAAAGCGTGAGAATACCAAACATTTGGTCCTGTTCGTTTTTTGTTTTTAAATATCTCGTGTTACTAATAGTTTTAAACATTCTAGTAAGTTGTCATTTGATGTGGGATATTTTTCATAGGTAAGAATACAGCCCAGAAGCATCTTACTGCGTGGTCTTATTAAACATCTAAATAATTAATTAAAACAGATCTCAAATAATTAAAATATACTGATACAAGCTTTCTCACCGAAGATTTACGTTTTCCGGAACATATCAAACGGTTAACAAAGCAAGCACCCAGTATTTTATCAAACTAGCCAGATGATGGGGACGCCGGACGCTTCAATCCTCGAGATGCTTTTTTGTTTTTGTTTTCATCTGTTAATATTAATATTATAAAATAGAAACCAAAGTTGTGTTACATGAGTAAAAGCCACAATCCTCGAGCTGTTTATTTGTGAGAGATATTTCATTTGGATATAATATATTTTATACACTCCCTTTCTTTATCAAATCTCTTGTGGGGTGTATAATTAGATTTTGAGATGAATTCTTTTTGATATAATAGTAAGATATATTTTGATTAAGAAAAGGGAGAGAATTATAATAAGGTGTTTAAAATTTATGATTTATCCTCTATATAGGTGTAAATGGTACCATAGGAATCTTGCGAAATTTTTGGTGATTTTTTGCAGAATTTTGCGGAATAACATTTTTTTTCATTAACAACTAATATTAGTAAATAAATTTTAAATTTTATTCATTTATAATCTTAGTAATTTATTAAAAAAATTTGTTGACATTTCTTTATTTGGGTAACGAAATAACTGAAATTTAATCAAATCGATTACTGATACAATTAAAAAAATAATACAATTATTAATGAAATGTAGATTTATAAGATTTTAGTTAATTATAAATTTATTGTACATTTATAATTTATTAGTTTGTTATAAATTTAGTGTACATTTATAATTTATTAATTTATTATATATTTATCATAGATTTATAATCGTTTACAAAACAAAAAAAAATATTCACAAAAGTTTACAATAATAATTATTAGCATTATTTATAACATAAATGACATTAACTATTAAAACAAAATATTACAAACACTCTAAAAACATTACGAATTACGAGGTTGAGAATATATACTTTATGATTCCACATGCACAATACTCTATAATTCCACAATTTTCTTACCAATTCCATTCCACAAAGACNAATGGTGTACTTTCCATAAAATTATTCAAGATTCCATAAAATTCCACAAAATTAATGTTACCATTTAGATTTTTGTATCATTTTGCTTAGGTGTCAATCTATCAAATTTTCTCAAACTTTTTTTTTTTAATTCTGTTATACTCATTACCAAACACATTTCATTCTAAATAATTAATTCTAATTTACTCTAATCCAAACAAAAAAAATCATTTTTGTCTTTATTTAAACTTTGTTACTTGTGTTTGTGATGTGAAATACTAGGACTTGCCATCATGTGNGTATTTTATAGAATAATATGGAAAATTTATTTTTTTAATAATCGTGGAAGTACCAAACATTTGGATCATAACTTTTTATCTTTGGTTCATAATTTCTTACGACCATCTTTTTGTTTCTTTCTGTAATTTAGGCTGTGAATGGTAAACATGTGAGAATAATTGGGAATAAAATGATGGGAAGTAATTGAGTATCAAATACTTTTTATTCTACCATTTTACTCTCATATGTTTACCGTTCAAANTCTTAGTTTTAATCATTGGAGTAAGTTTTTTTTGTCATTTGGTAAGCATCTTACCGTGTGATCTCATTAAACATCTAAATAATTAATTAAAACAGATCTGANNTAACTAAAATATATTTCTTACCAAAAATTTACGTTTTACGGAAAACAAAGCACCCAATATTATANCAAACTAGCCAGATGATGAGGACTAGGTTTAGGCATGNAGCGGATATTTTGAAAAATTCAAGTATCTGTGATACGCTCTGTTTAGAANAGATATTTGATTTTTTGATCCGATCCGATTCCCTAACTTTTGGATATCAGATTGGATCCGTGAAATTTTGAATATATGATTTTTTAAAATATCCGTAGATATCCGATCCAATCCATTATCATTTTAACATAG